TAATGCCCGGTTGTATCTTTCAATTGATGGTCACTGCCTTCACCTCTGGTTCATTACAGCTGTGAAAAGGAGATATGCTATCCTATCCTGTTAGCTAGAATATTTTTATAAGAGAAACTTCCCTTCATTAACTATTTGGTTGACTTGAGGTACAGACTGAACAGAAGCCGAATGTTTTATTATTTTTCTTTTTTACCAGCTTCCAAAATAATAGGTGGTTTCTTAGCATCCCCCAAAGTGATTAGTTGCTGTCTATCTTTTGTATCATTATGCCCTTGTGGATATACATATATTGTGGTGAGTATTAGTCCACCACAGCTGTTATGAATCTTAGTGATATTCAAACTTTTTCTTTTAACTAGTATGAGCTAATTCAGTTTGACTCTACAGTCCTTTTGATATAACTCTTGTAGTTCTTCTTGGCTTTCTGGCAAGGTAAGATGTTCTAAGATCTACAATTCCTACCTTGGACCTGGAACTAGCCATTTCTCCAAGGACTCCTATCTCCCTCTAATGGTCAATGTATTTAGAGATCACAATCTGGGTACTGGGGTGATCCTTATTACTGGTTTAGTCAGCATTTCTAATGAAAGTTAGAGATAGGAATATTTTTTTAAATACCTTTTTCAAAGGTAAATTTCAGATGAGTTCATACTTTCTTCTGTTATACTCAGTAAACTCTTTGATATCTAAGTGCTATATCCCATTTATCTCATAATACACAAATTCAGAATAACAGTAGATTCAGAATCATAATATCAACACTACCAATGATATAATTACTGAAAAAAGTTTAAGATGTTTTTGACTTTCTTTCTGAACATATGATATATACTATTAGAGCTGTATAATCAATTTGCTGTTATAAAGTCACTTGAAATAGTTCTCTGTATGTTTATGTCACCAACAGGCCATTCAGTTACTTTCATTTAATTGAACTTTTGATTTTTAGATATCACCTTTTAAAAGTTAATGTTAATTTACAATTGTCTAAAATATTTATCTGACTTCAAAGTCAAATCTACAAAATAAGGTATACTTAAAGTCTACGTTCTATCCCTATGACCTCTATCCTATTCCTTCTTCTCCCCTGCAGGTAATCATTTTTAAAAATTTGAAAGTTTGTTCTTCAATTGCTTGTTTCTTAATAGAAGCAAATATATAGTTAATTATATATGTTATTTACATAAATTTGTTTGTATAATTATGTATGTTATTATATATAATTTATAATATAGAATTATTATATTTAATATATTATATATATAAATGTCCCTATTGTTTAGGAAGAAAGTAGGCTTCTATACATACTTTTCTCTACCTTGCTTTTATCAGGTAATGATGTCCCTTCAGAATCACCTTCTGTAATATGTGTTTTCCCATTCATTTAACAGCTATATAGCACTGCATCTTGGATGTATCACGATCCATTCAGCTGGTCCCCATTAACGGATATGTGAGTTGTTTTCAGTATTTTGCTATTTCAAACAGTGCTGGGCACCCCCGGTGCCCAGATTGTGATTTTAAATACTTTGTGTCCTTTATTTTCGCTAGTCTACCTTTGGAAGATTCCTAGAGGTGGGACTGCTAGGTCAAAGAACAAATGCTCATGTGATTTTATTAGATAATGCCAAATTCTCCTGCAGAAGATGTGTACTCTGTTCTATACCACCAGTAGTGCATGAGGACACCTTTTTACTGCAGCTTCACAGCAGTGGATGTTTTCAACCTATTGGAATTTTGCCAACTGACTAGGTGAGATACTGTAGCCCATTGTAGTTCTACTTTACATTTTTCTTATTATAAATGAGGTAGATTATTTTTTCATGTGGCTTTTTCTGAGAACAACTGTCCAAATTCCTAGGCTGTTTTTCTACAAGAGTGGTTCACAAAATATGACCCCTAGGTCTGTAGCAGCAGCAGCATCTGGGAAATCGTTAGAAATGCAAATTCTTAGGCACCACCCCAGACCTACTGAATGGGGAAATATGTTCTACTAGAAGGTGATTTTTAAAAAAAATTTTAAAGATTATATTTATTTATTCCTGAGAGAGACAGACAGAGAGGCAGAGACACAGGCAGAGGGTGAAGCAGGCTCCATGCAGGGAACCCCATGCGGGACTCGATCCCGGGACTGGGATCCCAAAGGCAGACACTCAACCACTGAGCCACCCAGGCATCCCTTTTTTAATTTTTTTAACTGAAGTGCATACCTTATTCAGATTTCCACAGTTTTTTCCCTATTGTCCCTTTTATGTTCTAGGACCCTATCTAGGATCCTACATTTACATTTAGTTGCTATACCTCTTTAGGCTTCTCTTGGGTATGAGTTTCTCAGACTTTGTCTTTGACAGTTCTGAGGAATACCACTCAGGTATTTTGTAGAGTGTCCCTCAATTGGGATTTGTCTGAACCTTTCCTCATACTGGGGCTCTGGGTTTTGGGGAGGAAGACCACAGAGGTAGAATGCCATTGTCATTGCATAATATCAAAGGTACACTATTATCAGCATGACTTATAATAATGTTGATGTTAACTTGGATCATCCAAGGTAATGTTTGTCAGATTTCTACTCCACAAAGTTACTCTTTGTCTCCCTTTCCAAATTGTCCTCTTCAGAAGTAAGTTGCTGTGCACAGTCTACGCTTAAAGAGTGAGGAGTTATTTTTCCTCGTCTTGAGGGTATACCCCATAGAAGGTGATTTTTAGGGGATAGCATTACATGATAAAAGCCAGGTAGAGAAAAAATATGTATAATAGATTACCTTTCTCCTAAACATTAGAGACATATAATATATATAACATGTAATAATAATTATCAATTACTGAATGAGATACACTGGGGATAAGGCCCATTAATCTGTGTTTTAACAAGCTATGCAGGTGATTGTAATGCACTAAAATTTGAGAAACATTCACCTATATGGTTGATTCAACATCTATATTAACTTCCCTTAAACTTGTCTAATTGTTTTCTATTTAAACTAAGGCCAAGGGACGCCTGGGTGGCTCAGCAGTTGAGCATCTGCCTCCAGCCCAAGGCGTGATCCTAGAGACCCAGGATCAAGTCCCACGTTGGGCTCCCTGCATGGAGTCTACTTCTCCCTCTGCCTATGTCTCTGCCTGCCTCTCTCTCTCTGTCTCTCATGAATAAATAAATAAAATCTTAAAAAAAAAAACTAAGGCCAAGCTATTAGTAAAGTGGAACTGAAAGATTCAAATGCCATGCAGCATCCATGCATTCATTGGTTGATTCACCCAACTGTTAACAAATCGACGTTAAGGATGATTTTATATCACTGTGGCAGACAGTGAGGTACTGTGCTAAAGCAAAACAGACATAGTCACTGACTCCAGAAGCTTTCCTTCTGCTGAGGAAGAACAAAACTTAAACAAGCAATTTAAGTCTTACCCAAGAGGGTTACAAGGTGATACTGCAACCTAGAGCAAGGGGATCCAGCTAGTCTAGTGGTTAGGGAAATGCAAATAAAATGAACATTGAGAAAGTATTTTACTCCCATCAGATGGACTAAAGTCTTAAAAAGGGATCATACTTATTCCTAGCAGGCATATAGGTAGACACATGAAGCATTGCAGCATCTTTAGAAGGAATCTAGTGATACCTATGAATGCATCAAACACAGCAATCCATTCCCAGGAATCAATCCTGTAGAAAGAGCGCCACTCATTCAAGGCCATTTGCTGCAGCAGTGTTCCTAGGGGCAACACTAGTTACAAAGTGCCCACAGTGTGGAAAGGTTGAATACATCCTGGTATATCTATATTGGGCAGCCACTGGAAAGAGTGAGCCATACTGTGATTTGAAGGTATTTCTATGATGTGCTCTTGGAATAAGGAAAGCAACATGTAGAAAAATGGGTATAGAGTCTCAATTTTAGAGGCACCTGGGTGGCTCAGTTGGTTGAGTCTCTGCCTTCAGCTCAGGTCATGATCCCAGGGTCCTGGGATCAAGACTCGTGTCAGGCTCCCTGCTCGGCAGGAAGCCTGCTTTTCCTTCTCCCTCTGCCCTTTTCTTTACTCACTCTCTTTCCCTTCCTCTCTCTCTCCCAAATAAATAAGTAAATAAAATCTTTAAAATAAAATAAATTCTCAGTTTTAGAAACTCACATAAACCCATATATGTATGTTGGTATGTGATCATTTGAGCATAGAAGAAAGATATGAAAGAATAGATACCAGATGGATAAGCCTTGTACAATGGATTAAAATAAAATAAAATAACATGCAACCTCCCCTCCTCTTTGTGCCTTTTCCTATAGTGCAGAAGATGGGCAACTCACAATTGCATGCCTGGGCACCCCGCAGACAGACAGAGGTACCTGAGTGAGATGAGAGGGCCACGTGTAGGCCGCCTTGACAAGAACCTTCACTTGTTACACTTTTGCATTAGCCGACTGCCCTGCCTCTGGTCACCAGCTTCATGGGTATGGAGGGGCAGGGCATCCCTTCTGTGGGCCAGCATCTAGCAGACACAGCTTGGTTCTGGAGCCCTTCTGAGGTAGCTGCTGCTCCCTGGATCTCAGCTTTGGTGGTGTGAGCCAGAACTAAAGGCAGGGAACAAAGCTTCCAGATCCTTATAGAGGTGGTAACTTCTGTGGGGTTCCATGAGTCATTCCTGAAGGTACAGTCAGAAGCTTGGTCCTACAGTTCTTCCAGTGATTTCATCAACACAGGAATCCAGAGCCAAATGCCAATCTGCCTAAAATAGCTTGATTCTTTTTTTTCTTACAATCAAAATGTATGATTCAATGGGTTACCAGTTGGAGGAGGAGTGAGAGACAGTTGTGAGAATTTAGACATATGAATATATGAAAGTACTTTGAAAATAGTGATATTATTGTTATTATTAATTTTAAATGCCATTTCAAACTCATCTATCATCCCATCTAAATAACTGATGTACAGGGGGGCTTTGAAAAGACTTCTTAATACAGAAAAGGCACTCCACTGTGCAGCTTCTCCAAGGCACATGGTCTTACCAGCAGGTGTAGATGTGGATTTTGGCGCTGGAAGCAAACTCCTGCGGGGTGTTGTCACACTGGAGGATGCTGGAGGGGCTGCCCGGCTGGCCGCCTTGGGTGTGTCTTTGGAAGGCAAAGCTGCCTTCAGAGCCGGCTGGTCTTCATTCCCAAAGGTTGACCCTGTGGGAGGCAGACAGTGTGTTAATTATAACTTCATGAAAAATGGATGGACCCTCCTTGCCATTTGCAATCGCCAACCAATGCCAATACCATCATCTGCTTTAGAACTCAAACTGACTCTTAGCAAGTGGCCTTGAAAAGCATTTCTCTGGGACCAGAAGCAGAAAAATGCTCCATTTAGTCTGACAGCAAGTCTGTCACTCAAATGCTCTGTGCAAGGGGCTACACAAAAGACAAGGGCAATCTCTGAGGATTTTATACCTGTGCACGTGTGCGCGCACACACACAGACACAGAATTTGCTTATGTGGAAGTGTAACACACAGGAGATGAGCAATCCTTTTTTGAAAACCAGTGTGAGTGACCTAGGAGAGTTGAGAATAAGAGAGATGCATACATGCACTGCCGGTCCAAGAAGCTGATGGAGAACTCCCTGATACCCAAGTTATTTTGCCTTCAAAATAAGAGGTTTGGCGTGAAAATACAGTTGTGAGGACCATGGGGACAGAGAATCTCTCTGAAACTCATGAAGCTTTTTGCCCGGAAAGCTAAGACCCCACCAAACTACAAAGCTCCTGAATTAGAGCGAGCTTATTGCAAAGGCAGAAGATGCTTATCAATAATTTCAGTTAACCATTCAATATAGAAAGACTCTTTGTTGACAGGACAGTTCATTTATAAATGACTGCTCTGACGCTCTGAACTTATGGCATATGGGGATCTGTGTCAGCTTTAAATGCACAAGGCATAAAATAAAATAATAAATAAAATAAAATAAAATAAAATAAAATAAAATAAAATAAAATAAAATAAAATACATGAACCCCAAGTTTTCTTCTAGAGCTTTCCAAACCTACTGTGGTTTATACATTTGTCATGTCTTACAATGACACCATCATCTATTCCCTGTTAAAGAATCAGTCTTTTAAATACACCTCTGATTACAGCTGCAAGGCCTAATCTACTAAATTAAATAGAGCCTGAATGTATCGGAACTATGGCTTGTTTGGAATTAAACTATCCAGTTAGAAACGTGACCATCTACCATGGAAAATATGCAACGACAGCTGGAAGAAGTTATACAGAATTTTAGCAAAAGATTAAATTTTTTGTTTTCATCATTTTAAAAGGATAGGCAACATTCTATTTAGATAGGGCCTGCATAAAAATGATAACATTATTCAAGTAGCTTTAATATTTAAAACATCCAGGAATTTTATTCAACCACTTAGAGTCGGAGATTGCAGCTTTCCTCCCTCGGAAGACCTGAAAAATCTGTTTAGAATTGGTGAGATTTGCTTTGTTTCTAAAGAAAAGTGTATTTAGGAAGGAAAAAGAAAGGATGTGCTATTTCCCAGCAAATAACCCTGGTCCTATAGTTCTTTTCAGGTCTGTGCAAGGTTTTACATGGTTCTAAACAAGGCTAGGAGGATGCATTTAATAGATGCAAACAGAACAAAATGCATCCAAACTTCACCAAAAGGATCTGTACTGTATCTTGAATGTCAGATAAAGAACCACATGTTCGATCCAAAAACTTCATCAAGAAAAGGGGGGATCCCTGGGTGGCTCAGCGGTTTGGTGCCTGCCTTCAGTCCAGGGCTTGATCCTGGAGTCCCAGGATCGAGTCCCGCCTCAGGCTCCCTGCATGGAGCCTGCTTCTCCCTCTGCCTGTGTCTCTGCCTCTCTCTCTCTCTCTTTCTCTCATAAATAAATAAAATCTTAAAAAAAAAACTTCATCAAGAAAAGGGATGCCATGCACCTGAAAACAGTAAGTCTTAGCTTCTTAATCATCCAATGAGCTCACCAGTCCAATCCTAGAAGTTAGAGGATCTCTGGAGATTTGTAGGACATTTCAGATGGAAGGAGGTGGGGTGGCTCGGCCACTGAATATATTTCACATGGAATTATCTACTGCTTAGCCTACTGCTGATATACTGCCAGAGTAATCTATTCACTAAACTGTGTAGTGGAAACTGAATTGAACATAAAAAGTTTCACATAGAGTCTTTTACTTAATTTATTAAAGTTTCTTAAGAAGAGAAATGTTTTGTATCATTTATAAAGTTCAAATGCCTTTTTATCAAATCCTCTTGCACCTGGCATCATCCTCTTCCACATTTATTCAGAGAACGTGTCAATTTAGAGATCTGGCGGCTTTCCAGACTGGGAAGTAATTAATCTGTCTGAAGTACAGAGTGTCAAGGAAGCTATGTGGGTGATGGACTCTCCTCTGAGAGAGGTCTTGAATTAACAAAAAAGAAAAGAAAGTAAAACAAAATAAAATAGAACTCTATTCTTGTCCATCATTGTGGGATACTGCTGGCAGTTAACAGCATCACTCTTTGAAAACTAGCTTAAGTCAGCCAGTAATTAAAGACTCATTATTTAGTAAGGGAAAAGTACTCAGAATTTGGAAATTGCTGCTGAAGTCTATAAATGCTCCAAGTACTTCACAACAATGCAGACAACATTAAACCATTGCTTGATAAGAGGAAGAAAACAACTGGCAATAAACAAACTGCTTGTGGGAGCCAGAAAAATGTTCTGGAGGATTCAGTCCTTGGAGGTGTTTCATGAGTCTAATCCAGTCCCCAAATCTGACCCAAACGATCCAGGTTATTATCTGGATAAATGGTGCAGACTGAACAAGTAGGGTGTGCATACCACCTCCTCCACCTCCCACCTGTCCACCTCTCAGTTTCTTTGTCTGCAAGTGGGGATACTGGGCATGGACCTCAAAGAGCTGTGGTGGGACATGAAAGAACTAATAAAGGTGAATTTTACAATGTTAATGCAAGAGTCAGTACAAGAAAACAGAGTGACTGGGGCAGCTGGGTGGCAGACTGAGTTTCTGCCTTCGGCTCAGGTCATGATCGCAGAGTCCTGAGCTTGAGCCCTGTGTTCAGCTCCCTGCTAGCAGCTATTCTCTGCTTCTTCTTCTGCGCCTTCCCCTGCTCATGCTCTATCTCTCTCAAATAAATAAAATCTTTTTTTAAAAAAAGAAAGAAAACAGAATGGTGTCTGGTGCATAGCGTGCTCTTCTGTGTTAGTTATGAATACACACAGGTTGGTTCAGCGGTTGGTCATTACAGCAAGTCAGTTTTTCATAGGAACCTGCAAAGTGTCCAGGGAGTAATATCAGATGCGCTGCTCTGAGAAGAAAGGAAAGGATTATTGAGATAAATCTGACAGTAACTGCAGGATGTTAAGAATAAAGAGATACAGTCTGATGTCCTTAAAATATATGATGAACTACTTGAGACACAGGAAAAGGTGAGAATAAGGACATAAGGGACCACTGCGCATGAGAATACTGAACACTGTTGGTTCTGCTACAAGGGAATCTGCCGGGACTCAGGGCATTGCTTGTTGAAATTCACACCCACCACAGGTAGTGACTGTTTGACTTTAATTAATGAAATTGGTTTTAATTTATGAGTTTCTGACAAGCAGTGAGATGGAACACTTTTTTCATATTCAAGTTTTTTCTTCCATAAGATACCCACTCATACCTCTGCGTACTTTTCTACTCAAATATTTTGCTTTTCTAATTGACATATAGGAGGTTTTTTTTTAAAAAAATATTCTGGATATTGATTCTTTATTGGTATATATCTCAAACATTCTCCAGTCTTTGACTAACCTCCACAGTAATGGTGCCTTTATTCAGAAGTCTTTCCTTTTACCGTAGCTGATTTTTCTCAGTTTTTCCCCCACTTGATTGGCACCTAATGTGTCTTAGCTTTTCATTCGCTACCTGAGATAATAAAGATGTTCTCCTTGGGATCCCTGGGTGGCGCAGTGGTTTGGCACCTGCCTTTGGCCCAGGGCGCGATCCTGGAGACCCGGGATCGAATCCCACGTCGGGCTCCCGGTGTATGGATCCTGCTTGTGTCTCTGCCTCTCTCTCTCTCTGTATGACTATCACAAATAAATAAATAAAATTAAAAAAATATATAAATAAAGATGTTCTCCTATGTATTCTTCTAAAAAGTTTAAAACTTTGTTTTTCAGGCAGCTCAGCTGGCTCAGTGGTTTAGCGTCACCTTCAGCCCAGGGCCTGATCCTGGAGACCCAGGATCGAGTCCCACGTTGGGCTCCCTGCATGGAGCCTGTTTCTCCTCTCTCTGCCTGTGTCTCTGCCTCTCTCTCTCTCTCTCTCTCTGTTTCTTATGAATGAATAAATAAATAAAAAATCTTTAAAAAAAACCCAAAACTTTGTTTTTCACATTAGATCACTAATTCACCTGGAATGGAGCATGGAGTGGGGACTGTATTTGTTGTTGCTGTTTTCTATATTGATGGCCAATTATCCCAGGCCTATATATTGAACAGTCCATCTTCTCTGCGATATCTGCACTGCCAGCTTTTGTGCATCAAGTTTCCATATAGGCCTGATTAGAACAAGCTAGCAACTCCCAGATTTCAATAACTGAACATAACTAAAGTTTATTGCTCAATCATGAATCATCTCACACAGGTAATCTGAATGATCTGCTATCCTGGGGAGCTCTACTCCAGGCAGGAGCTCAGGGACTCAGGCTCCTTCTATCTTGTGTTTTTGCCCTAATCTGGGTTTCTCAAAAGACATTAATATGCAGCTGGTATATGGGGAAAAATGAATTATTTGTGGAAGGATTTATTGGGTCAGGCTTAGAAGTGGAGTGTATCACTTCTGCCATGAATCCAACAGCTAGGACATGTAGTTTAGTTTATGCCCAGGAGAAAAAAGAAACCATTTCATGAATACCTATGAACTTTGCTACATGAAGCTCCACTTTTGAACTCTATAATCTGTTTCACTGATCTTTTCCTCTGTCACTATACCAATACCATATCATATTTACTTACTATTGTATAAGATCAGTACTGGTATACTGAGCCAGTATAAGACAAGTACCTCCAACTCTGTTTTTTTACTTTACAATTGTCTTGACTCAAGTATTCTTGACCTTTCTCTTACATATAAATTCTAGAATCTACTTGTCAAGTTCCAAG